CCCCGTTCACCCCTAAGCTGACAGTGCTGTGGTAGCTACGTGCTCGCTGGGACATCCACACTTTCGCCGCGTGATCACGCTCTGTCGCGCATACCCACACACAGAGAACGAGGTCAGGTAATGAAAGGGAGGCGGCTGGTTGGTCCGGCAAGCGCATAACTTCTACCGCACTCTTGGCTTAGGTGTGAAGGAAATAAGTGAGGTCCGGCGTCGTGTGACGAGCATTTGGGCCGAGTGACGCGCTTTGGGTACCGCAAATGTATCACATTGAAAAGGCAGAGAGCTTTCGAAGGGAAGAAGTTACGACAAAATGTTTAGCTGGGCTTATGGGTTCATGACTGGAAATGAGCGCCAAAGGAATGGGGACTGGTGGAGAGGTGTACGATATTCCCTTTTCTTCCTTGGGTACATGTCTCAGCTGATCGATGTGTTGTTTCCATGTAGATATTACCTTTTCCTCCTTGGGTACAAGTCTCAGCTGATCGATGTGTTGTTTCCATCTATTTACATCGTGCGAATCTCTTATGTTCCGTTTCCTAGAACTCGGACGACGACGCCTTTTGACCATTTCTTGCCGTTCCTGTAGTCTACTGCCCAGACTTGGTCGTTGTGATGTAGGTGTGTTCTTTAGAGTCACGCGAAGCCGCCGAGACGTGCTTTTTTGCCTGTTTGGTCGCGCGACATCCGTTACTGATGGTCTAAGAAGATCGAACCTTGTGCGAAATTCGTCTCCTGTCATCATTTTGGCAGGTGTTGAGCCCGTTGTTGTTTGCGGGGTCGTCTGGTATGTTACCAATATGTTATGGCATGCCTCTTCCATGGTCAGCCCGACTTCAGGCTTGCGTTGACAGACTTCTTGAATGTTCCCACGAAGTTTCTGCCGTACCGTTCGTTGCGGGATGGTTTGGGGGTAAGAATGGCTGCTGCAGTCCGTTTCTTGACATGACATCCCGAAATTCGCTTGATCCGAGCTGCGAGCCATTGCCTGTCACAATCCTTTCTGGCAGTCCATATCTTGGAAAGGGAGTTAGAAACACCGTTATGGTGGCTGCCAAAGTCGCCGAGGTCATGGGCACTACCTCGGGCCATTTCGAGTATGCATCACTGATCAGCAAGAAATTTCTTAATTGAAAGGGGCCTGCGAAATCTGCATGCACTAGTTTTCATTTCTCTTTGGGTATTCCCACGGGTGTATGGGAACTCTGTCTGCCTCGTAGCTCAATTCCTGGCACGGTCGACAACTTTGGACCGTTGTTTCGATGTCATGATCTAAAAGCGCCCACCACACGTAGTGTCGTGCCACTCTCTTCATCTCTGTCATTTCCGAGTGACCTTGACGCAAATCGTTCAAAACGTCTTTTTCGGAACCTCGAGTGTACGATGACGCGTGCTCCCCCATGAAGCAGTCGAGCTCCACGGTTAGTTCCGTTCCGCGAGAGAATTAAGGCTTCAGGTCATCAGAATTTACATATTACAGCCATCCTTCCCTGGTGAATCTTAAAACCTATTATAAGTTTATAACCCGGTGTTCTTTCGCGTTGCTCTGCTGATCTGCTTATGTGTCAGTGCGAGTACTTGAAACGTTTCTACATAGAAACATTTGATTTCATCCATTCTTGCAGTTTGATTCTGTGGCGCCCTTTTCAGTCATTGGGAGTCTTCATAGCAAGTCCGTGACAACGTTCTTGTCGGTTGACAGATACTCTATGTCGAAATGGTACCCTGACAATAGGATTGCCCAATTCTGCATTCTTGCTGCAACCGTGCCAGGATTCCCTTACTGGGATTAAAAATGGATACCGGGGTTTTGTAGTCCGTGCACAGCGTGAAGTGGCGTCCAAACAAATACCGGTGAAATATATTTACGCCTTCAACTAGGCTCAGAGCTTCTTTATCGATCTCGGACTAGTTTCGCTGACCTTTGGAGAGCGTTCTCTACATAAAGGCGATCGGTTTCCGTTTTTTGTTGGGCAGTACGTGTTGAAGTACTGCACCAATGTTATGGCTCGAAGCGTCGCAGTGCAGTTCCAGAGGAAGTGCAGGGTCATAGTGCACTAGCAGACTCTTCTTGGCGAGTTGCTTCTTCTCTCTGTAGAAGGCTCTCTGGCATAATCTCGACCATTCCCACTTTTTGCCTTTTCGCATCAGTTCATGTAGCAGATGTAGGGTGTTGGCTATGTCGCTGATGAGGTTTCTGTAGTAGATCGGCAGTCCCAGAAATGCACTGAGCTCTTTTTGGTTTTTCGGCTTCTTCGCGTGTAGGATCGCATCCTTCTTTTTACGATTTGAGTGAATTTCCTGCTTTGCTACGACATATCCTAGGTGTTGGATGAAGTCCTACATGAGGCAGCAGTTTTGCTTTCCCAAGTGAATGCCACCTTCCTTAAGGTTTGCAGTACGATGTGCATGTTCCGCAGATGATGTAGATCGTTATTGCCACTTACCACGATGCCATCCTAAAATGCACTTGTGTACGCAAAATTCCCGACGAGTCCTCCGATGACGCGTTGGAAAATAGCTGATGCCGGGGTTATTCCAAATGACACTCTGTTCCCCTGATAGACCCTTTGTGTGTATTGATCACAGTGAGATCCGCTGAGGGGATCTGGAAGTAGGCTTGTTTGCAATCCAGCTTGGTGAACTTCTTTTTATGGGCAATCTTCAGAAATAGATCTTCAGTCTTCGGTACTGGGTACCTATCTGGCTTCAAGGCTGGGTTGAGTGTAACCTTCTAATCCCCGCATATTTGCACTTGTGTTTTTGTCTTTATCACTGGAATGATTGGAATCGCCCACTCACTCCTCATCACAGGAGTTATAATGGGCTCCTTCTCAAGACGATCCAGCTCCTCTTCTATCTTTTGTCGGAGGACGTATGAAACTGACCTTGATCTGAAAACATTTTGGTTGAGCTTCTTCATTCACGTCAGAGTTTCACGGCGTGGGCCTTCAGTTCTCCCGGACCTTCAAAGATGAACCGTGTTTCTGTAGCACACTTGCGAGAGTTAAGGTGCCTGCACGCACGTTGTGTACCTCCTCCCAGTTTACTTCAAAATCCTGAAGCCATGCCCTTCCCAATATGGGAGGTCCCCCCATTCTTCACCCCTTGGATTGCATGACGTTTGACGTGCTCGTTGTACCGCATTTCCACTTGAACCATTCCCTCTGGAACAATGGCCTTGCCGACATACGGCTTCAGCGTCGTTCTCGAAGGTTTCAACTGGTTGGCTATCTGGAAGAATTTCATGAAACGTCTCAAAGTTGATCACAATCACGGGTAAGGCTGTGTCGATCTCCATCTGAAGAGGTTTGTTGCACATCTCCACAGTTACGGCGATGGGTTTCGGGTAGCTTGAGATGATCAAATAAAACGGAGTGTCGTCTCCCGAGTTCCGTGCGGTAACAGGGTTGGTGATGTTTGGTTTATCCTTGCTTCTTGAATCTTGTTGATCTCGTGTTTTGTCACGGCAGGCCATCTGGAAGTGTCCTGTTTTTTCGCACAATTTGCAAGTCTTGTTTCTTGAAAGCAGTTTTCAGGGTCGTGAATCTTTTTGCCCCAACGGTAACATGGGGTCCTGTTTGTGCGAGGTTTTCCTTTATACTCGCTTGCCTTTTAGGAAGTGACGTCTTGTATTTCATCCTTTGAGTCAAGCGGTTGACACCTTGTTGGGTCCCGGTCTCGTTCTTTATTTCCTTCGAATTTTTCATGGCTACCTCCATCGATGTTTCAAGATCCACCGCTGCCTTGAATGTCAGCGTCGGTTCAGCCAGCAGCATTTTGAGGATGTTTTCGTCCTTAATGCCGTCAGTGAGCTTGTCTCGAAGCCGGTCGTTGAGGGAAACACCGAAGTCGCATCGCAGTGAAAGCTGTTCGAGCTCAGCTAGGTAATCTGCGACGGATTCGAATTCCAGTTGCTTAGAGTTATGAAATTCATAGCGTTCAACCACTTCACTGGGCGTCGAGTCGATGTGGGTCTGCACTAGTTGGGCGATCTGTACGTACGCCTTGGTGCCTGGTTTGGCAGGTGCCGCAAAGTTCCGTATTAGTTCGTACATTTGTCGTCCGAAGATGGTGAGACGAACATCGGCTCGCTTTGGTTCGGGAATGTCGTTCAGAGCGTAGAACACATTGATCCTATGGTTGTACGAAGATCATGATTCCGATTTCTGATTGAAGTCTTTGATTTTCCTCATGCGAGGCATTCTTTAGGGTTGAGATGAGGCGTCACTCCTGTTACCGCTGTCACCTTTGTTCCGATGTCGCTCAGTTGCTTAGATCCCATCCCGCCCTTATTGCATATGGATCCCATCCTCGTCGCCATTGTGATGTACCGGTTAATTGATAATGCAAGGATATATTTCTTTAACTGTTTAGGATAGAATTGGTTGAAGTTACGAGCAGCATCCTTTCTGTTCTGCAACCGCGCCCAGTCTGCCTTTCAAACGTCCCGTGCTGCTCCACGCTCGCTGCTCGGCTCTCCCCTGCCGGTGTCTCCGGTTGCATCCGCCGTTGTTTGGGCTCAATAGGTCGTGTTCGCTATACGTGGCGAACACGCATATAATACACGGCAGATACTATATAATATCACACGACGTCAAATTCCCTGCTCAGTTTGGAGGGGAAAGGTACGAACCGATGGACGGACAGGTATCTGAGACAAAGAAATTCGTTAAAAAGCGCTTCATGCTTTAAAGTATGAAAACCGCAATGTCACGTTTTGACATTTATCAATTGAATTGTTATTTCATCTGAAAATCAGAAAGTGTCGTGAACTCCCCTATATTAAACAGAAGAGTGAAGAAAATAACGCCACAAAACTACTCCTGGAAAGTGCCTTATCTATCACGCACGCCAGTTCAGTGATTTGATTCATTGAATCATGCTTGACTCTTATTCATTTTATCTAGAAAGCAAACTAATAAAAAGAAAGCTGCCAGACACAACTGCCAATGTCTGGCTTATTCTGGTGGAGATGAAACTTCCACTCTAGAATTTCTTACCTCTGGATGCTGGCCAGAAACATCATTGTACTCGCAGGGGTCCTTCGACAAATCAAAAAGGCAGGCTGACCTCTCCGGTGCACACGACTTCTCTCTAGGGTCCCTCTGGCCACAATCAACGGGAACGGCGTAACGCGTGCGGCCCGCACCGCACACGGGACTCAAACCGATGTTCCTCAACACTCGGACGACCACGGAGCTTTCGCACTGCTTTCGAGGCATGTCCGAATCCCATGTGACGTTTCCGGGAATCGAATACCACTTGTCAAAAGCACTGCCCGACGCACGACCTTTGACCAGCTTGAAATGGCCTTCAATTATTGCCGAGTAATTTTCCACGGGGTCGATGTTGATTAGCAGTTCGTGCCTTGGGGGCTCGGTTCCACCAGTGAGCGAATGCAGGTGGCTCAAGCCGTCGATGTCGTCGGCCATTCCTTCGGCAAGGCCACCTGAAATTTCAGAAGTGAGGTCTATACCATGGTTGGCTAAATTAATCTGATAATCTAAACTTCGCTGCCTCCTTCCCAGGTTTGCGACCTCCATATTAGCGTTGTGCTGTTTCGGTAGCGCCCTCTTATGACCATGACGTCACGACCGGGATTTGCCTCGCTGTGAAGTTATGAGGGGCTTGCTATCCCGGCTACTTTTCATCACTTTGGACAAGCTAGATGGCACGTTTAAAAAGCATGGTTGAAGCTTGCAGCTATTGCGTTCTTGAACTAACACTTTCTAAGTTGTCAGTCTAAAATGTCCCTATGCCCGTTGTTCAGTCAATTGAGGAAAGCCGATAACAGCGACGCTTTTGGTCAAGTAGACTGCAAATAGTCACTGCCAGTAAGATGTTCGTAGAGGACTTCGCCTCAAACGGCAGCTTCCTGCCTTTGATAGAACCTTGCAGCTATATCCCGGCGAAAAGCCACGAGCGCGTGCGGGAGGCTACTGGGCTCTTAACCAGTTACAGACTATAAACAGGATGCAGTCCTTCACATCTGCAGTTAAAAGATCCTGCAAGTTTATTATACCTTGGACATTTTATGCGCCACTCTCGCCAGCTAGATAGAGTGAATTACTTGCTTACCGGCAAGTTGATACAGCGTCGGAAGCCAATCAGAGATGTGGAACATGTTGTTGTATACGGATCCCAGTAAGCCAGAGAAAAGTGGGCTCCAGATGACGGCCGGTGCGCGCACTCCGCCTTCCCAGGGTGTGTATTTCTGACCTCTGAAGGGCCACGAAGAGGCCGAGTTGGCGGTGGCACTGTCGGTGTCCGCGCCATTGTCCGAACTGAACACAAAGACGGTGTTGTCTAGCATGCCCCGATGATTGAGGGACTCGAACACGCTGCCCACAGATTCGTCGAGGGCCGACACCATGCCTGGAAGCAAACACTTGTGAAATGAAATAGCTACTGGTTTTCCCTATTCTTGTTAAGCGATGACATCATATGACACCCCTTCAACCTTGCTTGCTCGTGCTCGTCGCACGGCAAGGGAGAGGGGAGTGTTTGCGCATCGCTTTCTCCACCCCCTCCCTCGCTACCTTCCTCATACGGTTCGATCACCACCAGCATGTACACTTTCCATTCATATACACTTTACATTCACTATAAACGTTTAACGCAAAGTGTAATAAACTTACTTTTGTATGTTTAAAGAGTAAATAAATATAAAGTTTCACACGGATTCAAGCAAGGAACAGATTACGAAAGTCTTATCGGCACCGACATCACAATGGCCCCCAACTGCCAAGGACGTTTAAATACCGCAGAACCCCCCGTCATTACGCCATGCTCAGAGACGCAGGGAAAAGAACTCAATCTCAGACTGCTTTGAGCACCAACGTCACGCGCCACCGACGTGCAGCTCCCATCGTCTGCGCGCGTATCGATCGTCTGCACCGCGCGTGAGATCTGCTTCGTCTGAATGCAGTCACGCCTTGCTTTCGGTACGATCGGAGCACGAAAGAAGTTTCGATGCGAACATGCATTCTCATTACCACAGAGGGAAACGAACTGCTGGAAGCATGGCTTGCACGGTTTTCTCAACCCGCGGTGCCGATCTCAGCGTTCGTGGATACGACGCGCTCGCTTTCCAAAGCCGCGCTATGACGACCCCCTCTAGATGGCGCTCCCGGTGCGGTATCGAGAGTGTCCGCTACACGCTGACTTCCTTATTGGTCAGGCAAGTGTTAGGCTCCAAATGTCACGTGTTCGACACCGATTGAGTCACCGTTACTGGAACAACTCAGTGCTGGAACTTCCCATAAAGCTGTACATTGAAGGGGGTCCGGAACCGTGTCCGATTTTTTTTTTCGTCAGCGGGGAGGGACCAAATACGATATAGCTTCGGTGGCGCTGCCCGCGCATTAATGCACGCGTTTTCGTCTGCTACTGCTCCGCCGTTACAACCGCTTGCGAGTCCCGACTCCCGTCGAGGTTCAGCATGGTTTTCGGTTGGTTTTTGCCCTTTTGCCTGCGAAAAATACAAGTTGAGCATGATAAGCGGTAGGACCTTTTTGGCACACGCTTTGTATCATTGTTAAATGATGCCGCCTTCGCTGTACTGACAGCGTGAAACGCTCCAAGCAGCCAGAATTCGTCGGAGCCACTACAATCTGGTGACTAAAATCAAAGCGAGTTTCTACGGTAGTAGTAGATGGGCAGCCTTATCAGGGCAATGCCATTGCTGGCCATTATCACATCACACCAATGCGAGCGTATAATTATCCGAACGCTTCGATAGCATTGGGGGCATTGCTATAATTCTGTCGCCGTTATAAGAGTTTTTAGCAGATCTTTTCTTCGCCCCGATAACGATACCTCCTCTCCCCCCCGGCGGCATTGAGTATACGCCGTATCTTATCGGATGACGTCATCGGGGCAAAAAAAAAAAAACGATCTGTCAAAACTTTTATTATCTTTGCTATGTTTATTGTCGATGAACGGACTTAGTTCAACATAGCCAATTTCCCGCTTCCCTGGAGCTTTTTTTGTGGCATTTTTGACGAGAGGAGGAATGCGCGTGCGGCGCGTAGAGCTACGTAGCGCAATCGCTCCGTGCTCGCGTCTTCTTTGACTGCATTGCCACAGAAGGTAGACGCCCTCGCAACTCGGTGCGGTCCAGTCTCGGTCGTGCAGTGAATGTGCACTGTTTGAGGCCTGTGCTCGCGCTTTTAGCTGCCGCTTCGCTCGCACTTGTTTTACTGGTCAGCGTCTACCAGACAAGTTCTGATTTTCGAGAGAGGAGTTTTGAAATGTGCCGACCACCCTTCGAATTCCCTTTGCAGTCCAATTGCTGCTAGGAATTTGCAAAATAAAGTTGGCTGTGAGGTATGCACTTGTTCTACATGTTCTGTTGGACCAGAATCTGAGTGTATTTCCAACTCTGCTGTTGTTGAGAGACTTTCTGGATCCTTCTCTGGTTCACAGAAATAATCAGCATTTTTGAACAGCCTTCCGAGGGATCTTCATGGGACAGGTCGGCGCCCGCAGGCAAAGTTTATTGAGCGCCTCCCGAAGGGTTATCCAGGACATCTTCGCACAGAGGCGTACACTGTTAGCAAGTCCCGTGTATTTGGCGAATATTTAAGGTAAAAAAAACACGCTATTTACACAAATTACCATAAATTTACAAGATGAGTAACGGATAATTCGTTCAGAAATCATGCGAGGTTGTAAAAAACGTGTTTTGGTTCGGTCATACACGCATAACCGTGTAGCCGACCTCGATAACACGCATCGCCCCCGGCGACGACCGCGGCATTGCCGGCTATCGAAGCACCGGAGCGCTTGGGGACACACCTAGAAAGGACCGTGAGACAAATGCCGCGGAACGAAACATGTCTCGGAGACAGATATGCACCAAAAGCAATTGCGCCATGTCGCAGGACGTTGGCGAAACCCGCGCTTACCGTGCTCGCCGCCATTTTCTGGTCGATGGCAATGCGGCTTCCCTCATGTCGCCCATGTTTGTATTTAGTTTAGGGGTCTTGATAATAGTTTCTTACACACCACAAATAAAGTCATGGGTCTAATTATTCGTTCCAAACAGTTAAAACGGATATAAAAAGCGTGTCCTCGATGTGAACACGTGACATTGCAGTTGGTTTCGTTTTTGCTTCAACCTTCAACTGCAAACGATCTGGCCACGGCGCAAGCGCCGATGTACGCTGGAAGCAAGAGCCTGTTGGCTTTCGTTGTTTTTGTTTGACCGGAGAAAGTCTGTCAAGTACGCATGGCGCCGCTACTGTTTTGGTTTGACGGGACGCGAGAAGCTTCGCATAGAGCTTCGGAGTTTGCGAGCACATAGTGAAGACGTGACCGGAGAAGTGCCCCTGTGGTGTTCCTGGAAGACGGAAAGTACCATTCGTAATCGTCGTGTGTGCTTTGAAAGCGAAGGGAGTCACAGGGTTCACGAGTTCGCAACCACACGCCAAGGTTCACGACAGCGCGGCGTTTACTTCGGCGATCTCGTTCTGTTTGGTGCAACCCGGCGATGCGAAAAAGAGCTGAAACGTTCGTCGTGTGTGGTGCGGTGCTTTGTATTCCGGGTCTGTTTGAACCACGCTTTTAACACGGAGCGCAAATTGTTTGTTGCGGGGTGGAGGTTCAACGGGTACAGTCCCGTCGTCGTCAGCTGATCCGGTCCAGCTGGTCCGGGAGGACGCAGCGAGCGTTTTTAAAAGTAAATCTTCCTTCGTTCCGTTTCAAACTGTGAAAGTATCCCGACACATACCGTCAGTAAGAAGCAGCGGGCGTTTTCAACAAAATTACGTCGTTTTAATTGAATAATGGACTCCGGATTGTTGTCTTAAATCTGCCGTTTTTTATGCTTCGTGTTGGACTGCGTTTGCATAGCGACGCACACCGCTCGAGTAAATGATTCGGTCCTGCAATGAGCTAGTTGCGCCAATCATGCGGCGTGAATAAATTAGGGCAAGGTTTCCTACCTGCCCACAGATGCATGTACTGAGACCATTTTTTTACGTTGTGAACGTAGTGCTCTTTCTTTATTTTGGAAGAGGCGTTGGTGCATTTATTATGGTTCAATCACTTGAGAGTTAAGAAATTGGAGAGCGAAAAAGCTTTCCCAACTTTGTCTCTTTCTCTCTGGCACTACCCTGTTTCAGTTTCAGTAGGCATATCTACTAGCAGGTACAAACTGCTCTAAAGCAGGTAAAAAACCGGAAGCTTGGGACGGTGCGGACTCCGTGTTTCGCGCTTTTCGTAAGGTGACAGGGTAAATGCTTTTGTGAGATATGCGGAATATGCAAGCGATTTTCTTATGCCCGTCGTTTGCGTCTCTCCAGCAAAACGAATAAGATGATCTACTACAAAGGCGCAATCACAAGCCAAGATTTAAGATAGCAGTGAGTTTGCTTCGGTGATCCGTGTAGCTGTATTTTACCCTGCTCTCTGCAACACCGTGTTATGACGAAGAGCTGGAACGGTCACGGTTTGTGCTGGACTCCCGGTTGACAGAAACCTGCGTCGCCCGCATCGGCACCGAGTGCGCTTGGGCTGTTGATGCTCAAGCCTTTCATCCGCGGCTTGTCGCCAGCTCATCCTGCTGCTCAACGGTGAGGAAGCGACGAGGGTAACCTCGGAAGTGAATGTAAATCCTCGTTCATTCAGTTATCCGGTGTCAAAGTGTGGAAGATGTCCAACGTCTACTGAGGGCGGGAACTGCGAGCGTTTTGCCTTGCTTTTATAACCGAAACCAGACCAACGAGATAACTGCCTTGCGTACTATAAAATGACGGAAGCAATAAGTTTCAACAGGTCGAGTACGTCACCGGGGATGTAGGCGAGACGGTGCACACTGTTTAAACGCTTGCAGTATTCACGAGTGGTACCAGGAAAGCGACGTCAACAGAGAAGGAGCTCGCGATTCAGCATAATGCACTGCTACGGGCCCGTGTATCTTCAAAGTTCGGGGTGGTGGCAGTATAAAAAAAAGACGCATCAGCGCCCCAAACCAGTGTTCACGAATAACACCGGTCACAAATTCCCACTCCCACCGCTCCACTCGACACCGACACGACATACGACAACAAACTACAGCAAAACGCCCCAAAAGTGAAGGCGTCCGCTCCCGTACTGCAACTAGCGGAAGTGAAGTGTTGGGCGGATGTCCGGATGTCCTTCAGAGAAATATATGAAAAATGCTTTGCGCAAGGATCATTTTCATTTATTATTGTATACGTAATGCCAAAATCCCAATAATTTGTTTTCCTATCTGATTCAAGCTAGTCGGACTGCTCATAACACTGGTCAAGCAAGAAAATAACAAAAATTTGAACTTTTTCATGACCGGTTTAAGATTTATTGTTAACATATCGTTATTTATTGCAACGGACTAACATTATAGATTTTGC